GCAGGGGTCTAGTCCGGATAGGTAGGAGTTTACCCTGCTACAGTATCCAGACCTTAGTTGTGTCAGGGTCACGCGGGTCTCTCGAGGCAGCTCGAGCTCGTTGTCTGCTATGGGTGGTGGTTTTTCTCCGAGTACGCCACTCACTGGAAGGGAGTCCCTGAAGGTGTTGACTGACTCCTGGTGAATGGCGTTCACTGCTTGTCGGTACGCCGTCCTGTCCAGCGGTTGTTGTGTGTGTTGCTGGATTATGTCCTTTAAATCTAGTACTCCCTTTCTGATGTGCCTAGGTGGAGGTTCAGCTCTATCACGTGCCTACTGGGGTGCTCCCTGCGGTAGATATTAGGAGGTTTCCTGTCGCGGTCCTGAGGGCGGTGTTTTGGCAAGCCTGAAGCTTCTTCATCTGCGTCTCGTTCGTCCCCGGCATCCAGATCGGTGCAGCATAGTTTACGACCGGCCGGCCAATTGCTTTGTAAGTACCCAGCAAAGTTTTTTATCTTTACCCCAGGTGCTGCCGACTAGCGCTTTGAGTGTTTTGTTGCGGCTCTGGAGTTCTGCGGCAATTGCAGTCGGTGCAGGCTGTCTAGAATTACTCCCAATATTTTTGGGTTATTTACCGTCGGACTTTTTGTGTCATCGACCTTCACATCTAGTTCAAGCCTGTATTCCTTCGTCCAGCTGGTGAAGAGGGTAGCCGAGGATTTTGTCGGTTGAATTCGTAGTTGTCTTGCAGTGAAGAATTGGGAGAGATCAGCGAGGTAGCCGTTTACTTTCAGCAGAGGTCATCAATATCCTGGCCAGGCGCCCTTATCGAACAGTCATCGTCATACGAGGTTAGGGAAACTCCTTCAGGTGGTGGAGGGAGTTTCGAGATGTAAAAGTTAAACAGTAGCGGGTAGAGGACACCACCCTGCGGAACCCCCTGTTTAATTTTTATGGGCTTAGATGTTACACCTCGGAATATTACCGATGATTGTCGACCACTCAGGTAGCCCATGACCCACCTCTGCAACCCCGGCGGTAATGAGGATTCCTTAATGTCCGTTAGTAGCACTGAGTGATTGACTGTGTCAAAAGCTTTTGACAAGTCCAGTGCTACTAGGACAGTTCGCGCGCAGTGTCGGTTTTGGTTAAGGCCATGGACTATCTGGGTGTTTACGGCGTTAAGTGCTGTTTTGGTGCTGTGCACTTTTCAGAAGCCATGCTGATGCGCTGTTGGACGCAGATGGTGAGTGAAGGTCGAGAACAGTAAGGCCTCAAGTGTCTTCGCTACTGGGGAGAGGAGTTATCGGCCGATAGGACTCTCCTTTGTTGGCTGTTTTCCACGGTAGCGGGACCACCCTACCCATTTTCCTCACGTCGGGTATCTTCAGGGTGTTCAGAGACAAATTGAGGACCCTCGTGAGAAATTCTGCTCCCGCTGGTCCTAGGTAATTCAGCATCAGCATACTTATTCCGTCGGGGCCGATGGATTTGGAGGATTTCGCCTTCCCGATGACTCACTGAACCTCCACCCTGGAGAAATCAAGCACCGCGCTGGTGTTTGGCAGTTTGCGCATACGGCGGGTTACACGTCGTTTCGCTTTGTCTACCGAAGGATGCAGTGTGAAAGGTCGGCTAAAATGCTCGCGCATCTCTTCGGCTCCGACGAGGCGCGATCACCGAATGAAATTCCCCCCGGACGGGTTAGACAGCGACTTGACTGTAGCCCAGAGCTTGGTTGCCCCAGAGGAGAGGCTGCAGGTCCTTAGGTGCTTCTATCACTTTTCCGCTTATGACTGTTGACAACTCTTCGAATCTCCGCGTTTAAATCCCTGACTAGGATTTCTGCGATTTGGCCTGACGGGACGAAGCGGGCGGCAGCGGTCACGACGACCCTGCGGAATTAGCGTTCACTAGCGGTGACGTCAGTTGTAGTGGGAAGAGCACTGAAGGCGTTCTCAGTAAATTCCGTGAATCCGGGCCAGTTAGCTTTTTTAAAGTTAACGAATGTCCGGTGGTCCGCGGAAACAAAGTCAGGAGGCCTGTCAATCGAGATTTGTATGGGCAAGTGGTCCGATGATAACGTCAGTATAGGTCGCCAGACTATACTGTTTATCAGACCAGCGCTCGCAATTGTTATGTCTGGCGAGCTTTGGCAATTACCCATAACCCTGGTGGGAGTGCTGTCGTTCATTGTGCAGAATTTCGAATCGTCTATCTGTTCCGCCAGCTCCATTCCTCTAAGGTCATTTGACATGCTAAAATGCCAAAGATCGTGATGCGCGTTAAAGTCGCCCAAAATCAAACGGTTTTCGCCCCTGAGTAGTGCGCATATATCAGGGGTGTATCCTGCTGGGCAACTTGTAACTGGAGGAATGTATATATTGAATATTTCGAGCTCGATATCTCCTGACCGGATAGCTATGCCCTGACATTCTAGGGTAGTATCCCTGCGGTCGATGTAGCCATCGATGAGACGATACTGCACGGTGTTGTGCAGGATGAACGCTAAGCCCCCACCATGGTCTCGCTCGCGATCCTTGCGGAGTATGTTGTATCCGGCCCTGTTCAGAAGATCTGATCGGGCGGTCAACTTGGTTTCCTGGATCGCAGCAATTGACAGGTGCTCCCTGCTCGTGTAGTCGACTATCCCGTCAATCTTTCCCTGGAGTCCGTTGCAGTTAAATTGTAGGGGTCGGGTCTGTCTCGGGGGAAAGTTCGTGATTCGGGGGGTGAGGGAGTGATGCGTGGATGGTGTGTGATGCTGCTGTACTACCCGCGAGAGTTGGTTCCGCACGTTGGAGTTGGTTGGCAGAGGGTTTGTAGAGACATGCGGGGGCAGACTCCTACAGCACGGGGCAACATACGCATCGCTCCACTCACGGGTGGTACGCAGATCAGACCACGTCCGAAAGTGACACCAGCCAGAGCATAAGTTGCATTTGACTGAGGTCACGTTCCGACGCACTATGGTCTCACACGGAACAGACAGTGCGGGGGACTAGGAGCTGCTGGGTAGCCCTCGCACGGGAGGAGGATGAGGAGCTGGTTGTGGGTAGGGATGGAGGTGGAGGTTGGAGGGAATCATGCTGCGGGGAGCTCCGTAAGACCGTGGAGGTCTGCTGATTACCCAGAGTGGGTATATGTGCTGAAGGCACTGCCGTGGAGGCTGAGGGGGCGGTTGAACGCTGGCAGCATGGGGCCACATAACTCGTGGTCCATTCCCTAAGTTTTAAAGCCTGAGCAGGTCTTAGGATTACTCCAGCCATTGCACTGGGTGCATCTAATCGAGGTGGAGGAATGGTGGAGTCTTCTATGACACACGCAGCAGAAGTAATCCGTCGGTCCAGGGTTGGTTTCTACACCAGCCCTGATCAGAAGGATTTGGAGCAGCCCAGCTGCGAGGTGTTGCCCCATTGGCGAACTTAGACTAAAGTTACCTGTAGACCTAAACGAGGTTAGGTCGCCGAAAGGGCCAGATAAAATCCAGGTCAACTCCGGTGCGTAGAACCGGCTGTCGTGAGAGTCGAAAGAAGCGTAGTACAACCTCTTGGTTGGATAAATTATAATCATCATTACTAAAGGATTCATCCAAGTCGCATCAAGCATAATTATCCGTCAACCATGTCGACCAACTTAAATACTCCCGTACATCAGACTTCGCATCGGTCTCTGTATCACAACCAATTCACAGCTATTGAGCAGCAGCCGCCAAAATCAATGTCCCTTCTGTGATACCACCGTCAGCATTTATCACTTGCTTACCGCCTGTCTCGCTCTGGAAAAAAAGAACTAACCACTTCAACAACGATGATGCGTTGCTTTTATTAAGAATACCACATCAGCTGAAAACATCTCTAAAATTTATATAAAAATAAACATATTATAAATAAACCAGTCAGTCGAAAGCCGATGTTGCTAGCGCTGCGTACCACAGTTTATATAATAAGATTTACTATGTAAGCTTTAATAAATAAATAAAAAAAATAAATTTTTTATTATGTAAACTACGAGGCCTTGTTGTGTGTATGAATTGAATATTTGTTATACAACAAAGAAATATGGTAGAAGTGACAGGTGTTTCCAACCAACGGACCCTTACCTAACAGGCGAGCGTTCTACCACTGCGCCAACATCAGCCATATAATCTGTTGTTGTATTATTCAATTCATTATTAACCAACAACTATTAAGTGAGCTAATTTAGAGATTTAAAGGCATTGTATTTACGATGTGAAAAGTGTGGGTCAGTTGCAAAGTCTCATGCATTGTCACACATTCCTAAAGGTTTAGACTGATCAAACCTGTGCATAAGCGGGGTTAGCGAACCGCTACAACAACAACAACGTATTCTTAAATGCAACTGTGCAAACTTTGACGATGTTTCATGTTCCAGAATACATCAGTAAAGTTATTGATGCGCAAAGAAAAGCAAACTGCGCATCTTAAGGTCTGCGATGCTTTATTTTATCATAAATTCTTATCAACAACGGTCGCGGTCGGTGATCTAGTTTTTTGCACTAATTATTTTTTTAAACATTATATTACTTATTTTTTCATCTGCAAGTTGTAGTTGTAACGGTTCGCTAACTTATTTATTTTGGCATCAATGACCTGTGTTCAGTTAATATGGCACCACTGTACTTTTACATCAATTTTGATCATTTTGATATCAATGCTGTCGCTAATCTGTATTCTGTTTCTCTGGCAAAAACGACTAAATATAACGAATAAAGAATTTCTCAAGTTAACAAATTTAAACCTTAGTTTAGTGGCGGTAAAATCGTTGTACAAACTGACGGTATGTAAAGTCTAAAACATTATTTTAGGGTACTTCTGCACAACAATCAAAATGAAGTTTTTTTTTCGAATTTCATTACATGATTTTTTTTTATCAATATTCCGAGCCACGTATAGGCTTAGTAAATTAAATTCAAATATAAAAGTTGTATATGTTATCAGCTTTGCCGTATATTTAAAAATCTTTCCTTTAAGTAATAAATGAAGGTGAATAAAACATTTTTAGTGACGATGGCCGTATGTTATAATGAGGGGAAGTAATGCACCACATATTATTATTATAACTTCACTGAAATGTAGTTCTTTAGAAATCAGATTGTTGGAGGCATATTGTGATTCGATACCACCTGTCGCACTGTCCAGTGATCGATATTCGTATTGTCTTTGAGAACGAGAACTAGAATTCTGTATTAATTCAGGGAGCACATGAACTGTTGCTACATATAAGAAAGTACCAGCAGAGAAAAGCATTGCTATACCGGTTGCATTCATAGAATTTAATGTTTCTTTTTGCTCCTGTCCAATACCAAAATATGTTATAAGAGTTAGAAATGGAGCTGATAAGGAAAATATAAGTAGATGCTTGCGTATTTTTTGATGTTCAATTTTTTCATGAAGTAGAAAACTAACGAGTCCAAATGCGGCAGGTGCTTTGTGAAGCATTATTGCTAAAAATACAATAATTTCAACATCTTGATGACTAGTTGTAGCTGCAGCTCCAAGTGCCACTCCGTCCGCTGAAATTTATTAAAAACCATTGGAATTGGGAATTAAAATTGATTTATACTTACCTGCGGCATGAACCACCAGTCCTAATGTAGCAGTTATATTTTTATCATTAGCACTCTTGATGCTATTACGTTGCGATAAATAATCAACCATCAGCATAAACACAAAACCCAGTACAAGGGACATACCAATGGTGCCTGAAAAATTCTGTTCTGCATGATCATCTTTCGTATGCTTTGTCGTTGCTACAATATGGGAGGTCTTTGCATTTTGTTCATTTATTGTCTCAATTTCAGGTAATTTATTAAAGGTATCGATGTATAATGAACGTATTCCTTCGGGGATTATAATTGTCAAAGCTGTACCTACCAATAAACCAGCGCCCAAAAGAGTTACAAGCCGAAGCTTTTCCTGAAATGGTGCAAGTCAAGTTATATATAAACAATCAATAGCATATTGTAGAACAACTCTTTATTTGGGAAAACTTTAGTATAGAGCCTATAGCTTATCTTCATGAAAAGTAGGAATGGTAGTAGGAAGTCTACAATTACCAAATATATTGTTGCGAAAATGCGAGGCGAATGTCAGATGAAAGAGAGAAGCCGATAACTAGTACATTCTAGAAACGATAAAACAAGAACTCGATGCTTCTACGCTTTCGTCGGCGAGCAGCCGACTGCTATATAAGTGGACACTCAGCTGCCAACTCAAGTTAGTTATAAAGTGAACTGGTTGGCGTAAACATCAGTAAAGTAAACGCCTTGGAGATTACATTTAAGTAAAGTAAATTTTGAAAGTTGATGCTAGTGATTGTAAATAGTAAAGTGCATTATAATTGAATTGCGAATTATTGAGAAAATAAAGGACATTAGATTAATTCTTTATAACGAAAGAAATTGCAAATTAAGTTGGCGAGTTTTTATTTAACAATCCAGAGATCGTACTCGAAGGATTCAGAAAATCATCAAGGTTGATTTAGTAAAATCGTAACAATATAAATTTTATCGCGCTCTTTATCAACTTTGGCTGTGCTTTCCATTATGGTTCCAATGCTTGTTTCAGCCAAACTAATTGACCAATCCTATTGAAATTTTCAGGAGTTGTTGCTGTTGATCTAATCTATATTTATTTATTAAAATTAACACATAAATGTTTATAAATTATATATAATTTGTTGTTAATAAATGTGCACTTATTTAACATACATGATGCAAAATACTAACTTTGATCTGTTCACATGCGATTACTAAAAATTGTTGTATTTTTATTTTACTTGGTTAGCAGTAAAATATTATTTTATTTTTGTATATTATTTTGATATGTTTTGTAAGAGAAATGTTCGACAATAACAATAACTGGGTGTTGCCATACGGAATAAAAATAAAAATACAATACTGCACAGGGTTGTATGAACACAATTATAATTTAAAAACACATTTTTTATACTTCATGAAAGAAATGACAAAATATTATGCAAGGCGAAGCCGGTGTTGGTCCGGCTAAGGGTTACAATCAAAAGCGCGGCCGAAGGCCTCCAACTTACAAAGGAGTTCTGCCTAAGAATACTGTGCAAGGCGAAGCCGGTGTTGGTCCGGCTAAGGGTTACAATCAAAAGCGCGGCCGAAGGTCGCCAACTTACAAAGGAGTTTCGCCTAAAAATACTGTGCAAGGCGAAGCCGGTGTTGGTCCGGCTAAGAGTTATAATCAAAAGCCGGTGTTGGTCCGGCTAAAGGTTACAATCAAAAGCGCGGTCGAAGGCCTATAACTTACAAAGCAGTTTCGTCTAAAAATAAACAGGGAAGACCCGTTCTTAAAAATTATAGAAGCGGTCAAATATACATATAAAGTACAAAAATTTTACTCTAGTTGTTTTATTTTAGAATTTCTTTTTTTATTTGTGGCAACACCAAAATTCACAGTAATGACACTTTCTACAAAATAATAGGGTAAAAATTCGATTTATTTGCTATTTTAAATATAAATATCTCGAAAACCAAAGGTCTCCGGTAGGTTTGTTTTTCGGTTTCTGAGAGAAGGTAAAACCCCCTACCACCCCTTATAATTCGTTTTTCTCAAAGCCTGGAACCATAATGGAAAAGTTTCCCTCAACTTTTTAAGTTATCTGCTAGTATTTAACAGAAAAATAAAATAAAAAACGAATGTTGCCGGTTTTACCTTGCAGTGTTTTCAAATAAAATTCTTATGTTCTTTTATGCGAAATCCTCACTTTAATATTGTTATTAATTTTCATATTATTTTACGAAACGGCAACGACTGCCAAGCAAAGGGTTGTTAGTATGTAAGTAAAACAGAAACAGGCTCTTTGCAAATAAAAAAAGAGTAACGTTAAATGCTTATAACGCTTAAACTATATATTTTCGCGCGACAAAATTATAATTTTTGAAAATTTTAGACCTCCTACTACCTATCCTGAACAAAAACCGCAGACTCTAAGCTAAACTCAACCCCTTTAGTTGAATAATTTTAAATTTTAAAGCTTTTACAGGGTAAATTTCATCCAAATGATGTTGCAATCATTAAATGCAACCTTAAGGAAATTAACAACAATTCAGTCCAGTTCTTACGTCCACGTTATTAACTAAATTAAACCACGGTTGAAAAATGAGAGCTTAGAACCAGCGTGTGACTGCTACCACCTCACAGTGCACATACCTACCTCACTAAGTTTCATCACCAAAGGTATCAATCCAGTTATATATGATCCGATAAGCATAACAATCACTAGTAGGACAAGCATGACAGTCTCTTCTGCCATTTTTCAATTTTGGTTATACTTCAACTTTAATTACAAAAAAAAGGATATCCGGTTAACAAAAATTTCATTGAACATATTTTGTTACACAATTAAAAATATAGTAGCAGCAGGCGCTAACTGCCACGCGATGCTATGCAACTATATTTCAGACAGTACTATGTGATACTGTATTCCGCAGCTTTAACATTGAAGTCTACGAAGAAATCAAAAATTTTAATATTTGAAACAACACACTCAGCACAAGTAAAGTGTAAGAAAGTGTTCCCCTGAGCTAGATATATCAAAGGAAAATAACAAAATAATGTTTTCAATAAGTAACTGTTTTTGGTAACGATACCCAATCAACTTAAAAAATACTCATTACCAGTAGCAATCATAAAACTTACTTCCCTCCTTAAGGCCGAATTCACACACGAAAACTTTTATCGTTAAGACAGATTTGGAGCGCGCCGGTTATGTCAAATTTAGCACTCCTTTCCACATGTATTTTACAATATTGTTGCGAAAATGCGAGGCGAATGTCAGATGAAAGAGAGAAGCCGATAACTAATACATTCTAAACGAGAACCTTCTATAGCGAACAACTCGATGCTTCTACGCTTTCGTCAGTGAGCAGCCGAGTGCTATATAAGGGCGACACTCAGCTGCCTAGTCAAGTCAGTTACAAAGTGAACTCGTTGGTGTTAACATTAGTAAAGTCGATAAGTAAACGCGTTGGAGATTACATTTAAGTAAACTAAATTGTGAAAGTTGATGCTAGTGATTGTAAATAGTTATTCAACTTTCGATGTTGAATAAAATAAAAGATTAATTTTTTTTATATCCCGTACACTATTTTTGATTTTATTTATTTATTTATTTTTTTTACACGCACATATGTACAGACGTACTGTAATGAGGTAAGCAAGCGAATGAACTTAAAAATACTGTAAGCTTATTATTTATAACAAAGTACTTAGCTTAGTTTTACATTAACGGGAAAGGAGGGGAAATTTCGTTTTTCGGTTTTCCTTCAACTTTCTTTGCTTTACAGGAATTGGAAATTAAAGTACGTATTCCAGTGGATAAAGGGTGAGTATTTCAGATTAGGGTAAACAATTCAAGGTGAGTATAAAATTTCTTATATATATGTATATTTATTTAATTTCAATTTTTCTTTCAGAACTCTATGAGATCGACACTCATGTCTTCAACATGCCGGCGGGCCTGCGGCGACGTGACCTGGACCAAGTCTTCGAGCTGTTGCAGAGTTTTTCGGGCTTTATCTACCAACCAACGGATTCGTTGCTGGAGGGCAGGTGATTTGATGTTTCGTTGGATGTGCTTCGCATTACCTTGCGCTTCGGTTCCGGTTCAGTGGTGCGCTTTTGATGGTTCTTCCGTGGTTCTTTGGGCAACTCGAACCGGACTTGCCTTCGGCTGTGATGCGGGGCGCGCTCGGCGAGCTCGCGCGAGGGTCGGTGAAGCAGCGCGTGATGTGCTAGCCCGCATTGACGACAACTGTCTGCTCCGGTGGTGTGTGAAGTCGCTCGACAATTAATGCAATAGCGATGTGCCTTTGCAGACTCGTACCTCTCGTCGGGCGTCATCGTCAGGAAAGAACGACAGTATCGTAGGGAATGCGGGCGGTAGCATAAGCGGCACTTGCGAAAGTCGAGTATTCTGTAATGATTGTAAAGGGTCGAAAAACGTTATAAGTTTGAGATGTTTGTGTATAAGGTCTCGTATAAATTTGAGAGAGGGGAGAGTATATGTTTGGAGGGAAATGTGCTACGCTGGTGGCAGAACGCAGAGTTTAGTGATGTTGCGAGTGACTATACCGCCTTGAGTGCGAATGTCGACTACGCGGACATTTTGATCGGGGGCGAGATGGAGGTTTACAATTCGACCTAACTTCCACTCGTTCGGTGGTAGAAGGTCATATTTAATGATGACGAGGTCTCCTTCACGGAGATTGGATTCCTGTCCTTTCCATTTATATCGTTTGTGTATTTCTTGCAAATATTCTGTCTTCCATCGTTTGCTGAATTGGTGGTGTAGAACTTTCAGCCTTTGCCATTTTTTTATGAGTGACAGGTTTTCCGAGCTTGGTTCTGGGATTGAGTGTATGGGGGCTCCGCGGAGGAAATGACCTGGTGTTAGAGCGTTCAGATCATCTGGGTCTTGCGACATTGGGGAGATCGGTCTGGAGTTTAAGACCGCTTCAATGCGCACGAGAAGAGTAATGAATTCCTCGAATGTGAACTTATGATTGTTCGCGATTTTCGTGAAGTGGATTTTGAAACTCTTCACTGCTGCTTCCCAGAGTCCTCCCATATGGTGTGCATATGGTGGAATAAATTGCCAGGTGAGGCCATGGACGGTATATTTCCTGCTGATGTCTTCAGATATCTCTCCGAGAAATGCGATGAGATCCTTATTGAGACTACGCTTTGCTCCAATAAATGTTCGTCCATTGTCTGACATCATTTTGCATGGTATACCACGTCTGCCGACGAAACGAGCAAATGCGGCTTTGAACGCTTCAGTACTTAAATCTGAACAGAGTTCAATGTGTATGGCCTTTGTGACAAAACATACAAAAACACAAACATAAGCCTTTGAGTATGATGCTGTTCGGAGAGTTGATGTTTTTACCAGAAAGGGTCCAGCGAAGTCAACTCCTGTAGTTTGAAATGGTAGTGAGTAGGTTGTTCGCTCGGGGGGTAGTGCTGCCATCATTTGTGACTTCGTGTTTTGTTTATATAGGGTGCAAGGTTTACAATGAAAAATGCAAGTTCTTATTTTCTGCTTCAGACGGGGGATATAGTATTCTTGTTGGATCATACGAATCATTAATTGCTTTTTGGCATGAAGTAACGTCGAGTGTAGGAAGGCGAGAATGAGAGTACAGAGTCTTGAGTCGCTCGGGATGATGATCGGATGGCGCTCATTATAGCTAAGGGCAGCGTAACGGAGACGTCCATTCACGCGTAACACCCCTGCTTTGTCTAAGAACGGGTTGAGTGTTAAGAGAGGGTCCTTCTTATGGATTGGCTTGGATGCTGAGAGAGTGGAGATCGTATTACCGTAGTGTTGATGCTGAGCGTTCCGAATGAGTATCGTTTTTGCTTGGTTCATTTCATCTTGGGTAATGCAGCGTGAGGAAGGGGCTGGCAACCCTTTTGCCTTGTTTACGAATCTCAGCATGTAACCTACTACTCTGAGTGCCCTTGGATAGGATGAGAAGCGTTCCAAAAGATCGACGTTTTCGGCTGCGTGATGTGCATCTGCTTGTCGCTGTTCTGGTGGAGAGGAGTGCGAGGTGGCAGCTTTCGGCCAGAATTCTGATGGTTTGGTTAACCATTCTGGACCGGACCACCATAGAGGGGAGTTGACAAGCTCCTGAGGTTTGATACCGCGCGTACCTAAATCAGCTGGATTGTGAGAGGTGGGGACGTGTCGCCAAATAGTGTTATTCACGTTTTGTAAAATCTCAGAGATTCTATTGGACACATATGTTTTCCATGTCCATGGAGGTTTTTCCAACCAAGCTAGTACGATGGAGGAATCACTCCATAAAGTTAGCTCGTGAGGTGGCAGATCGAGTTGAGTTTGTATCTGCTTTACTAACTTTGTGAGAAGTACTGCCCCACAGAGTTCCAGTCTCGGCAGTGAAACCGTTTTAAGGGGGGCAACTTTGCTTTTAGCAGCGAGTAAGTGGGACGTCGTAGATCCGTTGTGCNGGGGTTTCGGGCCAGTTGGCATATATGTACAATGAGATGTATGTACGTGGGTATATTAATAAAATGAGACGGATAAAGGAGTACTCACTTTGGCATATCCTGTATTTGTACAAACCCTTAATAATTGTTCTGTGATTGAGTGGATTTCGGTTGTTAGCGGGTTTTCGTTGATCGGCCTCCTTGCGGTTTTTTTGTCGGGAACCGGTAAGTATGTACTTTTTTTAATGCTATGTACAATATATAATTTTTTTTTTTTGTTTGTTTAGGGACCGTTTTTTTTTTATTCGAACGTTTTTTCACCGAACGTTATGTATGTATGTATGTCCGCATATACCGGTAAGTATGTACTTTTTTTAATGTTTTTTTTTTTCGAACGTTATGTATGTATGTACGCATATACGTGTATATATAAATATACATATATATTTTTTTTTACTTTTTTTTTTCACCGAACGTTATGTATGTATGTACGCATATACGTATATATATACATGTATATATATAAATTTTTTAAATTTTTTTTTGTTTTTTCACCGAACGTTATGTATGTTCGTATATATGTATGTATATATATATTTTTTCACTTTTTTCACCAAAAGTTATTTATATATACTTATTAAATATATATATATTTTTTTCCACTTTTTTTTTCACCGAACGTTATGTATGTATGTAAGCATATACGTGTATATATATATGTATATATATAAATTTTTTTTTTTCACCGAACGTTATGTATGTTCGTATATATGTATGTATATATATATTTTTTCACTTTTTTCACCAAACGATATTTATATATATTTATATGTATATGTTTTGCTTTTTCAGCGAATTTTTTTTTATATATATTTATACGTATGTATTTTTTTTTTTGTTTCAGCTATTTATTTAAATACATATATTTTTTAATTTTTTTCCATATATGTGCGTATGTGCTATTTTCAGCGACCGCATATGTTGAATTTTTTTTATATATTTTCACTTAATTTCACTTTGTTTATTTTTTCAACTTCTAACTTTATATATTTATTTTACTGAGCCACTTTTCGTGCGTTTAAAAAAATTTTTTATTCGTGACTATCGCTTGCTTTTACGCCGTTTTCGCGGCTTTTTTTTACGTTCACTGCGTTAAAAGGATTTCGGCACCATATTCAACTTTTAATTTAACTTTTAATTTTTTAATTTTTTATATTCCGTACACTATTTTATTTATTTATTTATTTTTTACAACGCACATATGTACAAACGTACTGTATTGAGGTAAGCAAGCGATTGAACTTAAAAATACTGTAAGCTTATTATTTATAACAAAGTACTTAGCTTAGTTTTACATTAACGGGAAAGGAGGGGAAATTTCGTTTTTCGGTTTTCCTTCAATTTTCTTTGCTTTACAGGAATTGGAAATTAAAGTACGTATTCCAGTGGATAAAGGGTGAGTATTTCAGATTAGGGTAAACAATTCAAGGTGAGTATAAAATTTTATTTTTCTTTCAGAACTCTATGAGATCGACACTCTTGTCTTCAACAATAGTAAAGTGCATTGTATTGTAATTGAATTGTGAATTACTGAGTAAATAAAGGATATTAGATAAATTCTTCATAACGAAAGAATCTGCGAATTAAGTTGGCGAGCTTTTATTTAACAATCCAGAGATCGTACCCGAAGGATTCAGAAAATCATCGAGGTTGATTTAGCAAAATCGTAACAATTGGTGTCAGAAGTG